AAAAATTGCTTTATAGTTCTGGGTAAAATTATGTTGGTCATGGGCCAGAATTATTTTAATGCTGGTTAAATTAAACAAAAATGCTGTTAAACAAGAAACAAATATTGCAGATTATCAAAAATATTCTGATGAAGCACCAACTTCAGCAGTCTCTGTTGCCCCTTTTACCAATTATTGATCATAAAAACATTTAGTACAAGAAGTAAAATAATAATTTGTTGCTAAATATGATGATCCATGATAATATTATTTGTGTAATCTCTTTGAAAACTTAATTGAATGTAGAATTTTCAAGATAGGTATAAAAAAAAGATGAGTTGTTGTAAAAAGTTTGTTGATTTAAATGATATATTCATTTCAATATTTTTTATTAATAAAAATGTTATATTTACATAATAAGTTGTATCAAATTATGCATATTCATCTTAATGATAAATATGTTTGACTAATTTAAAATATTTTTTGTTAAATAAATTTTATTTTCTGACACTTTTTGACCTATTGATTTAGCAAGCTCAAGATATAATAATAATCTATTACAGATATTGCTAGCATTAAAAAAGCAACTATTGAATCTTAAATCAAAAGCTAATATAGAAATTACAACTGGTAACAATACAATATACTATTTTGATAATGAATCATTTAGATTTTTAGCTGTATTTAAACAAAATATTCTATTTGAAGAAACTGATAAAGAAATCTATGCTGTAAATTGAAAAAGATGTGTTGATGATTGCTATAATAGAGTGATCTTTATATACCAAGTACGTATCTAAAATTTGAATATGCAGACTAACGTTTCGGGATAATTCTTTTTATGAAATATAATTCAAATTTTAGCATCATAATTCTATATATAAATAATTTTTTAGTCTTTGATAAATATGTAAACCTGGTCTGTTCTAGGGATGTCTTTTCTAATTTCTTAGTAATAACAATCTCTGATATAAAGATAAATTATTATTTTGTATTCTTATTGTATTATTCAGGAGAAATGCAAATTTATAAAAGTCTATTACTAATTCACACTTATTTTCAGAATTTAAAATAAATAATAGATTAGTATATATTTATTATAGCTACAAGTTACTCTTATACTTGGTTAACTTCAGGCAGATGCTAATTTCAGATATAATATTAGAATTTTATTTGGCTTATTTTTGTAACTTTTTTGCAGTTAGATATAAATTTTGCATAATGATCTTATTGGAAAGCCCTGCATATAGCCAAAATCATTCAAATCCAACTACAAGATCACTAGTTATCAAAGATAGATCAAATTTTGACTAGAAATTAGAACTGCCTAAATTTTTTTTTAATTGTTTAATTGTTTGATTGTTTAATTATTTAACTGTTTAATTTAACCAGCATTAAAATAATTCTGGCCCATGACCAACATAATTTTACCCAGAACTATAAAGCAATTTTT